TATGCCGTAATTTAACTATTCATAATTTAATTATTCTCTAACCAAACGCATTGATGTTATTATAAATAACGCTAAAGAAAATATCCTCATCCAGATATAATTTTTCATGCCTGAGAACTTATCTACAAAGTACATTCCTAGAAGGAGAACTGGTTAGGAAAATGACTTATGCACTTGCAATTTTAACAATTATTGTCAAACTGGCTTCCGTAGGGGTCATATCAGTTTTCACTTCCAACAAAAATGAATGAGTCACTAGTTTCCCAACAGCCTTACCAACGTGCTGTGTTATTAAACTTTTAGAGTTTTGCCCACCTGATGGGAGAAATAGTGTCTTAGTGTAGTTTTAAAAAATGAGTGAGTTTGAGCATGTTTTCAAAAGTTGAAAGGCCATTTGTTATCCTTTTTCTATGATCATATCATTTGCACACTTTAAAATTGAATTTTGCTCTTTTCCTTAATGATTTACAGGAAATGTATTTATTATGGAAATTAGCCCTTTTTCTATTACATAAGATGCAAATATTTTTCCAAGTTTGTCATTTGTCCTTTGATTTTGTTTATGGTGTTTTATTCATAGAGACATTTTTGATTTTGACGGTTTTAACTTGTTCTCTTTTATGCCTTTTGGATTTTTTTGGTTTTTATAAATTTATTTATTTATTTCTGGCTGCACTGGGTCTTCGTTGCTTCACCCAGGCCTCTCGCTGTGCTGGCCTCTCTTGCTGCGGAGCACGGGCTCTAGGCGCGCGGGCTTCAGCAGTTGTGGCTCACGGGCTCCAGAGCGCAGGCTCAGCAGCTGTGGTGCACGGGCCTAGTTGCTCCGCGGCATGTGGGATCTTCCCGGACCAGGGCTCGAACCCGTGTTCCCTGCACTGGCAGGCGGATTCTTAACCACTGCGCCACCGGGGAAGACGTCCCTCCCCGCCTTCTGGATTTTAAGTCATGTTATAAAGGCCTCTCCTACTCTGAGATTGTATATGAATTTTTCCTTATTTGTCCTAGAAATTTGATTCTTTCACTTCCCGCATTTAAATCTTTGATCCATCTAGAATTTATCCTGGCATATATTTGAGATATGGTTCCACCTTTTTCTCCCCAGATGGCCACTCATTTATAACCATTGCCATTTACTGAATTACCCTTAGAATCCCCACTGCTGTGAAATGCCACCATCATACCCTGAAGTCCTGTGTGCATTTGCCTCTGTTCTTGGGCTCCCGGTTCTGCTCTGTTGGTTTGCTGCCTATTCATGCTTCAGGACCAACCCGTTCCTGGACTGAGCATGGCTTACAATCAGCAGGGCTCGTTCTCCCTCTCCACTCCCTTTTCCGTGGTTCTCGTTCCTATTTGTTTACAGCTTTTGAAATATGACCTTCAGATTCAGTTCGTTTGGTTTCAGCAAGCAGCAAAAACAGCTCCCCCCCAAAAAAAAATTTAAAAACTTTCTGTTGGTTCCTTTATTACCATCACCTTAAGTTCATAAATTAACATAGGAAAACTTGACATATTTAATGACTTTGAATCTTACTAAGAATATAGTAAATTCTTCTGTGTTTATTCAACTCTACTTCGTCGTCCTGCAGGAACATTTAAAAATTTGTGTCAAATTGGTTTGGTTAAGTTTATTCCTAGATATTTTATCTGTTTGTGGCTAATGTACATGGAGTGTTTTCTTTCACTGTGTTTTCTGACTCGTGTTAGTATGTGTGGAGCCTTTTGATTTCTGTGTATTAATTTTGCACCATTCTAGCTCAGCTTGTTTTCTTATAATTTCTAGTAGGTTTTGTTCTTAGTTGATCCTCTTTAATTTTCCAAGTATCTAATCATATAATCTGCGAACAGTAATAGCCTTACCTCTTCCCTTACAATATTTATTCCTCTGACTTCTTTCTCTTGTCTGGTTGCTTCAGAGAGTACGTCCAGAACACTTTTAGGTAAGTGGAAATATTACCAACCTGACATTTTCCCGATTTCAGTGGGAGAGTCTAGTGTTTCCTCATTCAGACTTTTGGTCTGAGATTTACAACTTTAAAAAAAATCATATTCACTGATTTCTATTTCATTAAGCATTTAAAAAAATTAGTAATGGAGATTAAATTTTGAAGGTGACTTTTTGGTATCTACAGGGTTATATTTTCCCTGTAACTTACTAAAATGATGACTTACATCAGTAAATTTTCTACACTGAAATTACACTTGCATTCCTGTACTAACTCCACTTGGTTCAGACATTCCATCTGCTAATACTGGGTTGGCCAAAAGGTTCGTTCGGTTTTCTCGTAAGATGGCTCCAGTAGTGCTTAGTTGTCCTTAATGTCATTAGAAACAATTTTGTTAGATTGTATCGTGACAGCTATCATATCAGCATGCATTTAAAAGAAAAACATATCAAAACTGGTGGAGTTTTGTGTAGCTATTTTAATATTGAAGATGGAAGAAAAAAAGCAACATTTTCAGCATATTGTGCTTTATTATTTCAAGAAAGGTGAAAGCACAACTGAAACCCAAAAAAAAAGATTTGTGCAGTGCATGGAGAAGGTGCTGTGACTGATGGAATGTGTCAAAAGTGGTTTGCGAACTTTCGTGCTGGAGATTTCTCACTGGACGATGCTCCATGGTCGGGACCAGTTGAAGTTGATCACGATCAAATCGAGACATTAATTGAGAACAATCAACGTTATACCACGAGGGATATAGCCGACAGACTCAAAATACCCAAATGAAGAGCTGAAAATCATCTGCACCAGCTTGGTTATGTTCATCGCTTTGATGTTTGGGTTCCACATAAGTTAAGAGAAAAAAACCTTCTTGACAGCATTTCCGCATCCGATTCTCTACTTAAATGTAAGGAAAACATTCCATTTTTAAAACCAGTTGTGACAGGCGATGAAAAGTGGATACTGTACAATAATGTGGAATGGAAGAGATTGTGGAACAAGCGAAATGAACCACCACCAACCACAGCAAAGGCCGGTCTTCATCCAAAGAAGGTGATGTTGCGTACATGGTGGGATTGGAAGCGAGTCCTCTATTATGAGCTCCTTCCGTAAAACCAAACGACTGATTCCAGCAAGTATTGCTCACAATTAGACCAACTGAAAAGCAGCAATAGATGAAAAATGTCCGGAATTAGTCAGCAGAAAACACATAATCTTCCATCAGGATAACGCAAGACGGTGTGTTTCTTTGATGACCAGGCAAAGACTGTTACAGCTTGGCTGGGAAGTTCTGATTCATCCACCATATTCACCAGACACTGCACCTTCAGATTTCCATTTATTTCAGTCTTTACAAAATTCTCTTAATGGAAAAGATTTCAATTCCCTGGAAGACTGTAAAAGGCACCTGGAACAGTTCTTTGCTCAAAAAGATAAAGTTTTGGGAAGATGGAATTATGAAGATGCCTGAAAAATGGCAGAAGGTACTGGAACAAAGGGTGAATATGTTGTTCTGTAAAGTTCTTGGTGAAAGTGAAAAATGTGTCTTTTATTTTTACTTAAAGACCAAAGGCATTTTTTGTCCAACCCAATATTTTATTTGGAATTTTTGCGTCGATATTCTTAAGATTGGTCAGTAATTTTCTCTGTTTCTTATATGAAGTACATCTGTTTAGCTTTCCTCTCTTTTCTGGAATTAGGTTGGTAAGTTATGTTTTCCTAGAAACTTGATCATCTCATTCATATTTGCATAGAGTCCAGCAAAGGAGGGCTTTTGTTCTTTGAATTTCCAGGCTTTGTTATGATTTCCCACGATCATTTCTCATGTTGTGTAGGTTTGATTTCACCCTTTTCCTTGCGTAGGGTAGGCAGAAGTTTGTTTTCAGAGAGCTAGTTTGGTTTTATTTTTCAGTTCTAATCTTTTTCTGTTTTCCAAATGATTAATTTCAACTATATTTTTATTATTCCCTTTCTAACTTCATGAATGGTATGCTGAAGGCATTCATTTTTGTTTATTAATATAATTTTATAAGGACAAGAATTTTCATCTGAACACCACTTTAGCTATCTCTCGGGTTCTGAAAGGTAGTCTACACATATATATTTCATATTAGCTACTGCTATTATTATTATTTATGTGGAAAGCCACTGGAGAGTTAAGGAAAGAAATAAGTTTGGTTTTCTAGGATAGGGCTAGATTAAGGTGGGCCTTGAGTGGGAGGTGTTGGTTAGAGATTTTTAACTTGATAAAAATAGTATTAAGAAGCCACTGGGGAGCTTTGGAAAGTAACATGATATAAATGTTGTTTTGAAATGATGAACATCTCACATATTAACATTACCTTATCTAGTATTTTGTCTTTTCCAAAGCAATTTTGGATAGGAAATGCCTCTTTCAGCAAAGATGGAAAAAAGAAGGCTTATCTATCTCCTTCTCAAAAATGATATGGTCCAATCCCATAAACGAATACCTACCTAGAACTTCTCATGATTGTTTTGAATGTTGTACACTGGCTGAAATCTTTCATTACTGACTTTAGAATTTCATACAGAAAGCTCCTTTAAATTTGAAGCATATCCTATAATTAATTGGACTGTGGAGCAATCATTCACTTCTACTCTAGCACTTCATGTTATCCCTCATTTGGAACTGACCTTTGCCTTCTGAGGTGTTTTATTTCTCTAGTAGGTTGTAAATTTCTCATATAAGTACAGTATCTTTTATATTGTAGGAGGTCAATTCATATTTGTTATTAAATTATTTTGCTTAAAACTACTCCTGTATAATTATAAAATTCTCACAATGTGCATATGAGTAGTTGAAATACTCCAAGATAATTGTCTACCTTATCTTTATATTATCCCTAATCATATTCAACATTTTCAGTTGTCTTTCTATACTAAATAGGTAACCTGCACTTTATCCCGCGTTCTATTATTCGAGTAACTAAACTAGTAAATTGGTGTGTGTTATACCAGATCCACAGTCTCTTTTATTTGATTTTTGTTCAAGGGCTAATAGTTCCTACTCAATGTCCACTGTTCTCTTCTTTCTTACAGATTTTATCGGAGGAGGAAATGTGCCTACAAAAAACTGTATTTCCTAGACTCCTCTCCAGGTGAGAGCAGCCGTGTGTCTAAATTCTGGCCACATGAATGTAGGTGGAAATTATTGAGCTAGAAAATTCCTGCCTAGAATTTGGAGGGCAAGCCTGGAGGAGAATCATGCTCACAGGAAGGATGGTGGACTAGAAAGCTAGAAAGTGTGAATGAGACTAGCTACGCAATTTGCAGGGGCAGCACAAAAGGAAAATGCCAACAACAGAGCATTGCCTCTGGCGCTGGGCCCTTGGAAGCATGGGGCCCTATGTGACTGCATGGGTCACATGCTGGTGAAGCTGGCCCTGTGTGTGAAGGAACTGGGGCCCGAGGATGTTGTCGAGCTGCCATGTCAGCCCTGGACTGCCCGTCTGTTCTTCTTTTAATAGAGAGGAGCACAGCCCCCTTCTTGTTTAAGCCTCTGTTATCTGGATTTGCTGTGAGGTGCATTCCATAACTGATGCAGTGCTATGACTACCTTCATTTTACAGATGGAGAAACTGATGCTCAGACAGTTTGCTACCTGATCCATGGTGACCCATCTGGGGTGTGGACTCAGGCCCTGTGAGTAGGGGTCACATACTCTTTTTTTTTTTTTTTTAATTTATTTATTTTTGCTGTGTTGGGTCTTCGTTTCTGTGCGAGGGCTTTCTCTAGTTGTGGCAAGCGGGGCCACTCTTCATCGCGGTGCACGGGCTTCTCACTATCGCGGGCTCTCCTGTTGTGGAGCACAGGCTCCAGATGCGCAGGCTCAGTAGTTGTGGCTCACGGGCCCAGTTGCTCCGCGGCATGTGGGATCTTCCCAGACCAGGGCTCGAACCCGTGTCCCCTGCATTGGCAGGCGGATTCTCAACCACTGCGCCACCAGGGAAGCCCCACATACTCTTTCCTGTGCCAACACATTGTCTTTCTTTTCCTACAGAGATATAATCATTCTGCGTTTCCTTTTTCCAGCAAGATACTGCATTCTGCAGGTTTGCTGGTCTCACTATGGTCCCTCTGGGTAGCCTATAATAGGAGGAGGTTAGCTTCATCTCATTGGTGGTTCCTCATTCACATTTAATTGTACTCTGGAGTGGGCAAGTTGCAGGGCCTCAGTCCACATTTAAAATATTGCCCAAAAGTGATTCACTCTTGTCTCTAGTGATTCACTCTTGTCTCTAGCATAATATTTATACTCTGATTCCTCAGTAATTCTCCCTTTGTAGATAAAGCGTCAAGATCTTACATAATTCAGTTAAAAAAGAAACTCAAAATATGTGAGAGCCCATCTGATGTGGGTTTCCATCTACTTGACCCTTCAGGAGGAAAGCATTTATTCTTCTAATAGTGCCTTAGGATAAACAGTGTTGATCGCCCTTTGGGTGTTCTCATGCATGGCCGTGGGAAGCACTGTGGCCATTAACTATTATCTATTTTATTAGCATACAAGCCATGGCTGCCACTTCAATGCTCCAGGACCCCAGGGTAACATAGGTTATATTTGCTGGGTTTGTGCTCCAAGGTGACTGCGGGTTTGCTCAGCTCCAGGGCCAGCACCCAGCTTGGTTAACAGACACAGGTTCTGGACCAAGTCCAGAGTGGTGCTGGGGTGGAGGTCAGTGTATGATTGCAGGTAATCAGTGTACTATGTGGGATGCTGGCAATGGCATTGGGAAACCCACCTTCTCCCTCTTGGTAGGAGGAGAGAAAACCTCCTACCTTCCCCAAGAGGAAGGAGTTCCAGTCTGTTCATCCAGATTCCAGGACATGAATGTTGGTTGTTCACCAACAGGCACATGAAGTGTATGTGCCTCCTTGCCTCTTCCGTTGGTTAGAGGGTCAGGATCCCTCCCAAGCTGGGCCAGGCAGGATAACGCATCGGTGCTGGGGAGGCCCTGGGGCTTGGAGGCTGGGGATCAGACCTGGATTTAGGTTGAAGCCTCTACTTAGGCCTTGGCTTCCAGCCCGTTTTTACCATATACCTTGCATTGGAGTGTCAGGCCCATTTGTGACTATGTGGCCTTTAGGCGGTCCACGGAGGACAGAACTGTGGTGTTCTGGGGTCCTTGTCTATAGTATCATTTTTAAATATCACCCAAATCTCACTGCAAGGGGGGGCCCTCTGTCGACACCTTGATTTCAGTTCTAGGCTCTAGAACTGTGAGATTGAACTTTTCTGTTGTTTAAGCTACTCGTCTGTGGTACTTTGTTATGACAACCCGACTACCATGCTTGGGAACGAGGTTGGGTTCTCCTATTTTAAAGGCTAGTGGACTCCGTGGTTAGAAGTGGGAATACCACACTGTGAAGTATTTGAAATCATCACCATACCTTTTCTTCCACTGTTCAAATATAGTAGCTTCTTGACTACAAGAAGCTCATAAATGTTCGTCAACAAACTGGACTACTTACATGCAATAGAAGACTTTCTGTCTCACTCCTACTTTGGTAAAATAAGGAAATGGGGGTAGAGTTTTTGTGATCTGAGTTGGGTCACGTGGAGGTCAGGTCAGTGGTAACGTGGAATAGATGGGAGGCTCCCTAGCTTATCGTGTTAGTCGTCTATTGATGAGAACTCTCTGATTCTTGATGAGAAGTTGCTAAAAAGATGATGGAGGATTTTTCTTCCAGTCCTGAAATACTTAGTGCAGTGCCCAGCACTGATAGGTACTAAAGACTGTACTATCACTATTAGTGTCCAATCCTGGAAAAGGATTGCTTTTCTTAAGTCAGTGGTCAGAGGGGGAGTATCTGCCCCTTGAAATTTATGTCTCATCGGTGGTGCTTAATAAAGTATTTAAATGATATTAATGGGTCTGAACATGATGCCTTGAGCAATCTGGGTTAGAACATTTTAAACTTTATACCACACTGCTAATAAATCACTTCTCAAAAGACTAGGTCTTCAGCATCTGGTAGCTGGCCAACACAAAAATACTTCTTTAACAAATCAAAAACATGCAGTGTTTTATGAAAGAAATTGATAGAGTCAGGAAAATCAAATCCAGCGTCTCCAAGATATCCTAATCATGGAGCATGAAAGTTCTAATATATGACATTTTACCACTAGGTTTGCTATCAAGAAAACTGAGCATCGTAAAAATAAGGTTTTTAAAAGTGCTGAAAACTTTAATTCACTAAAACCAGGAAATATTATATTTGTATACTAAATTTTCTGGCCTCTGAGTGACCGTTTGCCAAAAACTTGGCCTAAAGAGAGTTTTGCAAATTTCTGGAGGACAGGGATTGTCTCTTTTTCTTACACATGAGATCCACATCTTGCCCTGCCTATCAGTCTAGGATAATGAATATATATTCAGTAAATGCTTGTTGAATGAACCAATGTGTGAATGATTTTCTTGGTGGGTTTCTATGAACTGAGGGAGAAGAGGCAACATATCAATAAAGAATGAACATTTTTGCTTTGAAATAAGGAAGACAATTTATTGTAGTGAGATTATACTGAAGTTGTACCTATGCCCGCCAACGCATATAAAGTAATTCCCTCCACACTATTGAAGAAGACACCAGTGAACTACAAAGAAACTCAAAGTGCTAGAAATCAGTTAATGTTGCATAGTGTAATGCATTTTCACTAACTTACCTAAATTTAAAGTTAGATGATTAGAGGACATACTGAAGTATTTTTCATACATATTAACAACAGCTTTTTCTTTTACTGGAGCTTGCAATGCCTTTGGTAACTCCAAACAGTGACAACTCTATTCCTTGCTGTTTCTTTCATCTTACTATGGTGACTAGTTATCACAAAGCTGCTTACTAGAGGAAACTTCTAACAGAGACTTAAACATTTTCCCCTAAATGGAGTTTGTGGAAAATATGAAAATTGGCACACTGTTTAGGCAACATAAAAAAAGAAAAGACTATTTTTAAACCCTAACCCCTAGAAAAATGCCCCAGGAGGCAGAGAACAGCCATGCAGTTTAGCGCAAGTTCACAAACAAATATATACACATATCAACGTAGACCTCTTTGCACCCAGCGCCTTGTCTAGAACGCATTTTATACATTTGCTACATGTGGCACAAATGCAGGGGCACAGACACTGCCTGAGTGCTGTTGAGGAGCTGGGTAGCTGTCCTCTCTGAGGAGGTATCTACACAACTTTCCAACGGAGCTTATTCACGACTTTTTGGAAAACAGAGTCTAAGAGCAGCTCTTTACACAGCCTTGTGTGTACAGAGGTGCCATGCGCTGTGTCTGGATGATGGGTCCACCTCCTAGATGTAGGATTCCTTAGCGAATCGGAACTGATCAGCATCAAAGACGGGCTGACTACACCGCCGGGCCAGGAGGGCCTGCTTGTTCTTCTGTTGAGACTCAGACACAGTTCTCAGCCGATGCAGCTCAGGTCTCCTGGTGACAGTCACCTGTCCTGTCGTGTCTATAGAAGCACAGACAGTCCTGCTCTGCTTCCAGCTCTCAGTCCTGGGCCACCGTCGGGGCCCGTCCAGTGGCTCCTGACTGCATATATTTCTTGAGTCCTCTCCGTGGTGGACAGGGAGAGGTGGCGGTAGCCGGGCGTCCAGGCTTAGCATCCTGGCCCTCATGCTGCCAACTGTTTGGCTCCCGTAGGTGGCGAGCTCCAAGGCCTGGTACCGAATGGCCTCCTCGTAAGAGGGGGGGCCACCAGGGCTCCTTTGATCCACCGGCTGGAACGTGTTCTCCACCGAGAGGGAGTGGGCCCCCGAGTTAAAGTCCATAGCTGTTTGGCCGTGGGTGTCAGGCAAGTTTTCTTGGACGATTCGGCCAGCAAGCTGGCTTTCTTTTTTAAGACCTTTCTTTACCTGGTCTCTGGCGCAGCCCTTGGATTCCGCAGCCACAGCAGAGCTGCGGGCTTTGGTTAACACTTTTTGGTGAGAGGCGAAGGAGAATGACATGGAGTGTTTTTTTATTTCTCTGTCGGGCTTACTTTTCTCAGTCTTTGTGAAAGACTGATGTCTGGTGAAGAAGTTTCTTTTGGGACTGGAAGGAGAAGCCAGGGCTGAGCTGTCGGAGAGCACGTCCAGGGAGCCACTGGAGACGGCTTTGGGGGTCAGTGTGCACGCTGACACCAAACCCTGAGCCGGGCTCTGCACCCTCGGGTCTCGCGGCCCCTGGGTTTTGCCTTCCGCTGCAGGAAACACCTCCTCTGGAAATGGGTCCTCGGCTTCCTCACTTGCAAAACAAGGGGCCGCCTGGGCCGCGGTGAAGTCATCCTCACTTCGTGTGAGTTTCGGGTTTGCTCTCCTGCCCTCAAGGCACTCCTTCGAGGATGCCGCCGTGCTGGGGTCCGAGTACCTCCTGTCTGGTTGCCTGAGGGAGCCTTTCAGTCTGGGCACACTGCTGAGGACAGGCTCCCAAGGGTGCGGCGGGCCTCTGGGCTCCAGGCTGGCAGCCGGGTCCGAGGACCCTGGGGGCCACCTGCTCAGGGACCCCACGGCGCTGGGCTCCGCGTCGGGGTCGGGGTCGTTGCTGTCATAGGCCGAGTCATTCTGCAGGGTCGACACGTCTGGGGGAAGTTAAGGGACGGTTGAGCTTTCATTCAGTTACTTTTAGAAATAAACCTAAGTACCGTTCAC